ACCTTCGGCTATACCCATTTGGAGTGTCGTGGTGTATTTGTGCATTGGTCTCTGCACAAAGATTTGTGTTGATAAACTGCTAATTTCTTTTGGGTACTTGGATATGTATGAATTAAAATAAAAAGACCATCTCCCTACCACTGTCCATTTTTGCTCCCTTCCATTAGGATTTTGGATAGCACTCATTTTTATTTGAAAAAACATTTATTAGAGTGCACGGGGCTGTCAACATAATAAAAAAATAATATTGATAGGATATATATCTTTATAAAAAGATCTGCAGAAAATTAAAAAAAAAAAAAAAAAAAAATGTAGCAATAGGATTACGAACTCCATTATTGCTATTAAATATATTTCAATCCTGACAAATGTTTTCATTGCATATGAGGCTTGGTTTCCCTGCCATTTGTCCTTCTGGGTTAATATTTTCATTGTATATGAGGATTTTTTTCCCTGCCATTTGTCCTTCTGGGTTAATATTTTCATTGCATATGAGGATTGGTTTCCCTGCCATTTGTCCTTCTGGGTTAATATTTTCATTGTATATGAGGATTTTTTTCCCTGCCATTTGTCCTTCTGGGTTTTTTTCTTGTTTCTAATGATTGCTCTTGGTCACGTGACTTTTTATGGATGAATACTATACTGATTACACAAAATTTGTTTGTTCTTTTGTTGTACGAGAAACTTTTCGTGCTAATCCATTCAGATAATATTGTATGAGCCATCGTGATTCCCTCTCAAGATCTCTGCGTACAATGATTACATTATCAAACGATCACTGTGAATGCAGTTTTTTTTTTTGGCCGATTTTCTCATCGTATGTACCAGACATTAGGTAAGGTGGTAAGCTAGAGAATGAGTCACCAAAGATTGAACTCAAAGTTGTATGATGCCTGTAAAGTTTTCACTGGTTTTCAAAACTTAGACGGTAAAAAAGCAAATAATATGGATCAATAAAAGAGGTCTTTATTGTTTCCTGTAGTAACCAACCTCTGGAAAAGGGTTGACTGCAAAGGAATACAGGTACAGCAGTAATAATGGGGTATCAGCACAGCAATAAACTATAGACAGCAGTAGAGAAAATTAGTAGGATTAGGAGGTTTTTGTTTTTTTTTGCTATCATTACAGATTGGATGCTGGTATAGCAGGCATCACAATAAATGAGAAACTATTTCTGAGCTCCTAAAGTTAAGGTTGGGGCAGTTTACTTGTGTGTTAGAGAAAAAAAAATGTGCATTCTATTACTAATTCTTTTGTTTAAGAAGGCCACCCTACAAAAGATTACGTTGCCTATTATAGAGACACTTTCAAATAGGTCCACCAAATGTAAAACATGGTTCCTTCTGTATGAAAGCCTCTAAAGCAACCATTCTGTATGAGTGCATATATAAACCCTTTTCTTAAAGTGGCTGTGCCCATGGCAGTATGTAGTAAAGTAAGAAAATGATATTAAATGAACCAGTGACATACCCTCTTTATGCCAGTGCAACTTTTAAACATCTCCTAAAAAGAGCACATGTATTCAAGTCACTACCATGTCCTAATAATTGTGTGTCTCAGTATCTACACAATCAAAATATGAGGCACAATCTTTTGCTTTAAGAAAAAGCTCAGCTACAGTTGTGACCAAAATTATTCAACCCCCACTGAAATTGAGTGTTTTGGCCAGTTTGACATTGCTTTTGATCATTCAGTCATCTTGCTTACATTTACATTAAAGAGGCACTTGTAGGTCAGACAAATATAACATAACATTATAATGAAATAACCACAAATGTCTTTTCTGTGCTCACAGCATTATCAGTTTTATTCAACCCCCAAGTGACATTCAATCTTAGTACTTAGTACAGCATCCTTTTACAGTTATAACAGCTTTTAAACGTGAAGCATAGCTTGACACAAGTGTCTTGCAGCGATCTACGGGTATCTTCGCCCATTCTTCATGGGCAAAGGCCTCCAGTTCAGTCACATTCTTAGGCTTGCGCACTGCAAAAGCTTTCTTTAAGTCCCACCAGAGGTTCTCAATCGGATTTAAGTCTGGTGACTGCGATGGCCACTCCAAAATGTTCCAGCCTTTCCTCTGCAACCATGCTCTAGTGGACTTGGAGGTATGCTTGGGATCATTGTCCTGTTGAAAGGTCCAACGTCTCCCAAGCCTCAGGTGTGTGACGGACTGCATCACGTTTCCATCCAATATCTCCTGGTACTGAAGAGAATTCATGGTACCTTGCACACGCTGAAGCTTCCCTGTACCTGCAGAAGCAAAACAGCCCCAAAGCATGATTGACCCTCCACCATGCTTCACAGTAGGCAAGGTGTTCTTTTCATCATAGGCCTTGTTCTTCCTCCTCCAAACATAGCGTTGATCCATGGGCCCAAACAGTTCTAATTTTGTTTCATCAGTCCACAGAACACTATCCCACAACTTTTGTGGTTTGTCCACATGGCTTTTGGCATACTGCAGTCGACTCTTCTTATTCTTTGGAGACAGCAAGGGGGTACGCCTGGGAGTTCTGGCACGGAGGCCTTCATTACGCAGTGTGCGTCTTATTGTCTGGGCTGAAACTTCTGTACCCACATCTGACAAATCTTTTCTCAGTTCCTCAGCAGTCAACTTTTTATGGATGAATACTAATATACGGGGACTTCTCTCCACTCTACGCTTCAGGTAGCGCACAGCAGTCGAAGTCAGCATCTTCTTTCTGCCACGACCAGGTAGCGTTTCAACAGTGCCCTTTGCCTTGAATTTGCGAATGATGCTTCCTAAGGTGTCTCTTGGTATGTTTAACATCTTTGCAATCTTCTTATAGCCATTGCCCTTCCTGTGAAGAGAAATCACCTCTTCTCTTGTCTTCCTGGACCATTCTCTTGCCTTCACCATGTTTGTAACCACACCAGTAAATGTCTAGAAGGAGCTGAGTATCACAGTCATTTTAAAGCTGCCTAATTGGTGCTTATTATGCTTGATTGCTGCTCGGTGACATCCACAGGTGTTTTCAATACCTGATGGAAAGCACCTGTATGAACCTCTGTTCTTCAGAGTGGTAGTCTTTAAGGGGTTGAATAATTGTGGCAATGAAGAAACCACATAAGAACCATTTACTACTGTATTACATAAACAATTGATGTCATTTTATTGCATTTGGGTAGTTACAACGTCCTTGTAGGATTTGATTCTGAATACAATTCCAAATGTACACTATAGTCCCTAAACCCCTTTACAGCATTGGGGGTTGAATAATTTTGGTCACAACTGTATGACCTATTGAGGGTCCATAAACCATAAACATCTATAACTGCGTTCTGTCCTCAGCGGCTCCACCTGGGCTGAACCTCTTACATGATTTTCATGCTGCCTTACACAAGGGTTCAATGGACACCAAATACAAATGCTGGTAGCTTGTATCTGGACAGTCTTTATTTCAATTGAGCTTCCAGTGACAAACTCATTACTCCCAACTCACCGATGTGAAACCTTTGCAGAATTTGTACAATCTTTTGGTACGGCCAAGTCACTGTTTTTGTTGAATTCACTGCACCCTAGCCATGTAACTAAGCCCACGCACAGGTGATCTGAACAGTTTACATGCTTGGAGCCCTACACATATACTTCTAAAAACACATAGGAGACAATAAAGGAAGCCATTTGCGTACCTGCAGAAACCTCACCTTAGAACACAATAACCATAACGGCTATTATGATACTGATCAGCTGCAAGATTAAAGTGCAAGACGCTAATCGGATTACAGAATAGTGGCTGGACCAGCAATAATAAGCCTTGCCTGAGCACATTAGGGACACAATGGCAGTCACTTCCATCCATGGTCGAGCACAGGGAGTCATTGCCTCTCTAATGACAGGTCAGTTGATGCTTCCATATGTTAGCATTACTGGGCACTTTATAAACAACCAAAAGGAAAAACAAACCCCTAAACTTGTGCTTATTATCACTCACACATACAGTCAAGTTGGCTCAGAAGACAGACAAGGACAAACCACTCATTCGTAGGCAGAATATGACGATATTCACATTGAAGCAGGTGACAGATGATGGACGGTGCAATTATTCTTGGGTCTGGGAAGGCATGTTTGCATGTTCATTCATGGAGAGGGATTATGGTAACTTGCTTAATATGGGGAAGCAAATGCACAGGGTCAAGTCATATGTGGCAGCTAATGTAATGAGAGGTCTACACCGACTCCCTCTTGGGCTACAATGCGTGGTCTAAAGAGTGTCAAGTGCAGTAAACACATTCAAACAAAATATACAATTCCTAACTGCTTTACAGAGGATATCTTATTTGCATCAGAGTAACTTTATTATGGCTAAATTTCAGAATGTGCGTGTGGGGTCTGAAGGTGACCCTACATGATCAACGCCACTACTCTGCAGACAATTCTTGCTTTGTTCCAATGCTGTACTTTAAGTTTTGCACTTTACAATGATCAATGCACGCATTTCAATGCATCATAAAGTCCACAGGCAGCAAACAAGATTAGCAGGTCTTGAAATAGCAAGTGGTTACCACTGTACATGAATTAAGGCCACCCTGCTTTTTTTTTTTTTTAATCATAGTACACTCTTTAAATTAAAAAAGGAATTAAAACCGATGGCATGGTAGATCATAGATGCTTACATAGAAATTTCTAGAAACATTTGATTAACCATGCCAGCCATTGACCAGGGAAGAAAATACAAATGGTGCACTTTGAGGACTAAAACACCTTCAATTTGAAATGAAAGGAAGAAAAAAAAAAAAAAAAAAAAAAGTTTACACTCGTCTGTTTGTTCCCATATTCTCTTTCATAGTGTATGAAAAGGCTTCCCACAATAATCTTCCACTCCAGAAATCCATGTCGGCAACTGTCTTATATCTGGCGCTTTCAGCAAACTGCATGTTTTTTCCCCCAGAGGCCTTTGCAGCACCTGTGCTTGGCAAGAAGCCATTCGATCAGGTGTGCCACAGTCCATCTCCTTTCCTCCATGTGCTACAGTTCATCAAAGTAACACGCAACGAAAGAAACTGCTCTTCTTTGATGACTTCTCTGTAATTTTTACTGGACCTCCTCCACTCGGAGAGCTGCTTTCATTCTGGAAGAGAAAAAAAAAGTTTAAAAATAGCCTGAATTGCAGCAACTTTTATTTTTTCTAGTGCTGGCTCTGCTGCAAGAAGAAAAATCTAATAGAAAAAAAGAAGACCTTTGCCACAATGATCTAGCAACCTCTCAAAAAGCCCAACTCCAACCAGCATGGGGTGGGGTAGGGTTATGCTTTGCACCATTATATTTTGGTTACTATATGTGAGACAATTGAAATTTTTCTTCACGTCCTGTCCCTGTGACTTCTAAAAGAAGTTGTAATTCTCCTCCCCCCCCCCTTAAAAAAAAAAAAAAAAAGAAAAGAAGAAGTACTAATTACTAAGAAATGCACTTTGCCATAGATATCCACCAGCCATATGCAGATCACTAAGGACTCAATACTCACAGTGATCGAAGGTTTGACACAGGCACACACAGTTTTATTCGTTCAACTAGCAGGTTGAAAAAATAAAAAACACAAAACAAAACATGTGTGATGCAAAGATCTCTCCCACTGTTCTATTGTATTCTGACAGGGGGGACTCCTTCACCCCCCCCCCTTCAGAAAACACTGATCAGTGCTTGCAGCTATTGGCTATGTTGGGTTGGTTTTCCAGCATGACAACTTGACAGAAGTCGGTCGTTAGAACAGCTTCTGTTGAGCAGACCGCAGTACACATGTACAAACTTTTGGTATGTGTGTACCTTACTTAAAGTATATGTAAACCTTCACCTTGTAAAGCAAGGCATTCAGTTTAAAATATAAATGAAAGGCAAAACATTTGTCTAAATATATAAAATAAAAAGGGGGTGGAAAAAAAGGTATTTATAATTTTTTTTTTTTTTATATTATCATATACCCTCTGTTCACAGCTGCAAAAGGCGCTCAAAGAGCTGGGGGAGGAGAAAGAGCAGGACACTAGTCTTCCCAGTAAATGGCTGTGCAGAGGGCATGTGTCAGCACAAGCTTGATTATTGGATTAGCTCCCAGTACAGCCAGAAAACTGACCACACTGTGCTCTCTTGCTTAGTGTGGCCAGTTAATAAGAAAAGACAAAAATAAAAATGCAATTGGCGCAAGAGAATTTGTAGTGGACATAACGTTCACTCAGCAAACCTTAAACAAAATAATCCAGTAAACAGAAATTAAGATATATAATCGTACATGCTAGTAATAAAGGGGCAACAAGTAGATGATGCAGCTTTAGTGGTGAGGAAAGGGAAGGGGGGAGGGGATGGGGGTAGGGAAAGGAGGGGAAAAAAGGCCTTGTGATGCAAACAGTACTGGATTGAGATAGATGGTATATATATGTGTATACATATATATACACAACGCTGCAATGTAGACACCGTCGTGAGGCTTGCACTTTCTAGAGTAAACCGGACTCTGTGGTAAATGGAGAAGAAAGAGAAGTGCGCCAGACTAAGTGCAGTATGAATATAAAAGTTTATTGCACACAAGATTATAAAAAACTCACAAGACGTGGGTAGATATCAGGCATCAATATATAAGGAGGAGGATGGCTGTAATGCCAAGGTGTTGCGTGGCTGGCGCTCTAGGCGGGTCCCACAGGACCCACAGGCCTGCTATCCTCGCTTCCTCCTGTGGGACCCGCCTAGAGCGCCAGCCACGCAACACCTTGGCATTACAGCCATCCATTTGTGAGGTGCAGCACAGATGACATCCTCCTCCTTATATATTGATGCCTGATATCTACCCACGTCTTGTGAGTTTTTATAATCTTGTGTGCAATAAACTTTTATATTCATACTGCACTTAGTCTGGCGCACTTCTCTTTCTTCTCCATTAATAGGAAAGCAGAGGGACTGGTAGGAACTCCAGACATTTCACACAAAGGAAATAATACAAAAAACAAGATACTTTTCCATACAAGTACATGGTACAGCAGGCACATGTCAGGAATATGAAATACTGGGTTTACATATTCTTTAAGGAAGATAAAATACCAAACAGTCAAAAGCAGATCACTGAAGAAAGAGCCAGTGTCACGGTACCAAAGACAGGTACTATGTCATGGATTTCCATAAATCTCAGAATAATCACAGTGGAGGAGCTTGCTTAGTAATCAGATTATCACAGTGACTCTTCAAGCACAGATACCTTTACAGTGCAGCAGGCAGGCCTCAAATCAATAAACTGCATTTGATTACAAAGTACAAGCAGCAGTTTGTCAGAGGAAATAAAGCTTCTGAAAGGAGTAGCTGATGACCCTTTAAAATCCTGAAGGGAAACTTAGTACAATGAATGCTCTAAAAGGTAATGCAGAGTTAAATTCCTGCCTGCTAACTGGACTAAGCAGCTCCTACATTCTAAAGTAATGTGCAAAAGTACCTACAGAAATAATGCCGCTGTCAAAATAAAAAGACTGATTCATGGTCCTTCTAAAAGAACATTGTCCAAGCCGAGTGTGCAGGTTTAAAGCTGGAGTTTTATCTGCTTGTATTTTATCTTTCCTGATTCCTTGTCTTTCTAGGGCAAAAGGAAAGAAACCAAGGAAGGTGAAAACATAAGCAGAATAAACTTCAACCCCACCTCACTAACATGATAATTACATTTGTAAATAAAACCTTTATAATGACATACTTTATTTTAAAAAAAAGTCACGCCATCACTGGGTCCCTGTGTTTCTGTGTGCAATACACACATATCATGGCTAGTGGGAGGGGCCAGCAGGGTGCTGTACATAGCTTTACTCTGCCTCAGTACTCCTCCCAAGAGTCAGCTCTCTGCTTGCATGAGGTCTGAGGGCTCTTTTACTACCTGCCAATTCTGACAATTTTATCTCCTACATATAATAATAATAATAATTATTATAGTTTCTACTAGAATATTAAACATTATATATCTTTTCAAGCAGAATAAAGTTACATAGTTCCATACATAGTTTGGCTGAAAAAAAGACAAAATTCCATCCAGTTCAACCATTTAAAAAAAAAAAAAAAGTTATAATCCTACACCCACAGTTGATCCACAGGAAGGCAAAAAAAAAAAAAAAAACAGCAAAAGCATGAACCAATTTGCTTCTGCAGGGAAAAAAAAAATTCTTCCTGATCCCCCGAGAGGCAATCGAATATTCTCGGATAACTCTTGAGGGAGCCTATTCCACATTTTCACAGCTCTCACTGTGAAGAAACCTTTCCATATTTGGAGATCACATTTCTTTTCCTCCAGACGTAAAGAGTGCCCCTTGTCCTCTGTGATGACCTCAGGGTGAATAACTCTACACCGAGTTCACTATATTTATGACGTATTTATACATGTTGATCATATCCCCCCTTAATCTCCTCTTCTCAAGAGAGAATAAATTCAGTTCCTCTAATCTTTCCTCATAGCTGATCTCCTCCATGCCTCTTATCAGTTTGTTTGCCCTTCTCTGTACTTTCAAGTTCCCCAATGTTCTTTTTGTGAATTGGTGCCCAAAATTGAACTGCATATTCCAGATGAGGTCTTACTAATGATTTGTACCGGGGTAATATGATATCTCTCTCTCTGGACTCTATACCTCTTGTAATACAACAGAGGATTTTGCTCGCTTTAGAAGCCGCAGCTTGGCATTGCATGCAATTATTAAGCTTGTGATCTACCAGAACTCCCAGATCCTTCTCCACCATTGATTCCTCCAGTTGTACCCCCCTAGTATGTATGATGCATGCTAATTCTTAGCCCCCAAGTGCAGAACCTTACATTTATCAACATTAAACCTCATGTGCCACACAGTTGCCCAATTAAACAGTGCATTGAGGTTGGCTTGTAAGTTGGAGACATCCTGTAAGGATGATATTCCACTGCACAGCTTGGTGTCATCTAAAGTAAAGTGATATCCAACATGTCAAGCTTTAAAATACTGTACACCTATGGAACGGTGCCAAATTATAGTACTCAAAAATATCCATAGGCAATGCTTTAAAAACCTTTACAGATTACCATTTTAGAGTTACACAGGAGCTCCAGGGCTAGAGTTATTGCTCTCGCTGACATTAACAGCGATACCTCTCATGTGTGGTGTGAATGTAATTTACATATGCATGAGTGACTTGGGCATGTGCTCCCCATTTGCAAGTGAGCTCTTTAAATTTTCTTTTCTTTTATCCATTTTATTGCTATCACCCTAGTGTGTTGCCAGACCAACAAATATAAAAATAAAAATAGTGCTGCGCTGCTCACACTTTAAAAAAAAAAAAAAATTGTAAAAGTAACATACAGCCCTCCTAACACATTTTTGTATTAAAACAAAATAGTGGAAAAGAAAAATATTAAGTGATAGGTATATATTCATAATATTGCATATACAGATACTTTATCGTGTTTTACGTGGAACAGTGAGAGGTCCTCTTAACTGAGACATCTAGGCTCTTTTAGACCCTAGATCTCTCCTCTGCCCTTAAAAGCACCTGATCAAACTGAGATCCGTTTAATCAGATGCTTTCACAAGCCAGTAATGGCTTGTTTACATCCTGGCAAAACCGAAGTAACAAAATCCTCATTGCTTCTGGTTTCTTATATCATAGAAATGCTTGAGTATGTTCTGGTCCTCAGCCATCTCTATGGTAAGCCGGCGGAACCGCTGGCTTCAATCCTGGGCTCTCCAGTGAGACGGGAGAGCCTGGAAAGGCACAAGATATACAGAGCCTCCATATCTGAAAGATCTCAGATCCAATGAATAAAAGGGGTGGGCCAGGGACATTCAGGCTGGAAAAGGAAAGGGTTAGGTGATGCAGGGCATCTTCCAACCAGGAAAAGAGGCAGGTCCCAGCTTGTTGCAGCTTCTAAAGGACACTGAGAAGCTTGCAATCAAATAAAAATAGACACTTTTAGTGCAGGAGAGGAGCCTGTACAACTGTGCAAGACTAAAGGCAAGACTGGAGTTCAGCTTTAAGGCCCAATCTGACCAATGGCCTCACTGGACATATGAAAAACAATCGTAATCATCCAGGAAAATCTGGTAATCTGTACTTCCCAAGGTTAGGTCTACTCCAGTGGGATTCCAGCAAAAGTGGGAGCGGGTACCTGTCAGAAAGAGGTACCCGATACTCACCCCCCCCCCCACCATAAAAAAAAGGAACAATGGAGATTCCCTTTTATGGCTTGAAATATGAAATTCTACTGCTCAAAAATATAGTAATATATACGCACCATTTTTCTGTTAAGTTTTGTCATGATGTCACGGCCAAGAGTGAAAAATGCCTAAAAACAGAAAAAAAGGAAACACTTAATATATATCTACATGGGAAAGGGTAACATTCTGGGTTAAAAAAAAACCCAAAAACCTCCAGGTGAGCTATAAACCATAAAAACAATATCCTTACCTGCTTCTGTTCTATAGATACGGAGAGCTTACAGTCCACTCTACTACACTTGGAAAAACCTTCATAATGGGAAAGTCCCAAGCAGGAAGGTCCGTTTCTACTACAACCATATGATCAGTCCCAGTATTGTAAATAGAAAAAAATTAACTCCAACACTGCTTTAAACATGTAGTACTATCTGCATGAAAACCAAAAAAACTGTACTGAGGATCATTACTCCATGCATGCACAGGCTGTCTGTAATTCAGACTTTGATCAAATGACAGTGGTAGAGAACTGATAATTTCAGAAAAGCTATAAAACTAGAAAGTCTACAAAATGAAAAAAAGCATTTGAATTTTAGCAGCACAAATTGTAACCACAGAATTGAGACAGTAACCACTAGGGGGCAATATTTCTGTTTGAAAATATGTCCACTTAGTGATGCTGTTAGAAATGTGAAATCCTACAATCTCAATTAAAAATAGAAATAAAAAAAAAAATAAAATATAAAAATAATAATTATATTATATATATATATATATATATATACACACATATATATATATATACACACACACACACACACACATACACACACACACACAGTGAGAGAACAGAAGTATGTGAACACCCTGCGATTTTGCAAGTTCTCCCACTTAGAAATCATGGAGGGGTCTGAAATTCACATTGTAGGTGCATTCCCACTCTGAGAGACAGAACTTAAAAAAAAAATTCAGGAAATCACATTGTATGATTTTTAAAGAATTTATTTGTCTTGCACTGCTGAACATAAGTATTTGAACACCTAAGAAACAGCAAGAATTCTGGCTCTCAAAGACCTGTTATTGTGCCTTTAAAAAGTCTACCGCTACTCCACTCATTAATCTAACTTAGTAGCACCTGTCTGAGCTCTTTAAAGACACCTGTCCACCCCACAGTCAGTCAGACGCCAACTACTACCATGGGCAAGACCAAAGAGCTGTCAAAAGACACCAGAGACAAAATTGTGGACCTCCTCAAGGCTGGAAAGGGCTACAGGGCAATTGCCAAACAGTTTGGTGAAAATAGATCAACTGTTGGAGCAATTGTTAGAAAATGAAAGAGGCTAAAGACGACTGTCAGTCTCCCTCGGACTGGGGCTCCATGCAAGATCTCACCTCGTGGGGTATCACTGATAAGAAAGGTGAGGAATCAGCCCAGGACTACAAGGGAGGAGCTGGTCAATGACATGAAGAGAGCTGGGACCACAGTTTCAAAGGTCACTGTTGGTAGAACACTACGCCGTCATGGTTTCAAATCATGCATTGCATGGAAGGTTCCCCTGCTCAAGTCATCACATGTCCAGGCCCGTCTGAAGTTTGCCAATGACCATCTGGATGATCCAGAGGAGGCATGGGAGAAAGTCATGTGGTCAGATGAGACCAAAGTAGAACTTTTTGGTCTAAACTTCACTCGTCGTGTTTGGAGGAAAAAGAAGGATGAGTTGTATCCCAAGAACACCATCCCTACTGTGAAGCATGGGGGTGGTAGCATCATGCTTTGGGGGTGCTTTTCTGCGAAGGGGACAGGACGACTGCACTGCATTAAGGAGAGGATGAATGGGGCCATTTATTGTGAGATTTTGAGCAACGACCTCCTTCCCTCAGTCAGAGCATTGAAGATGGGTCGTGGCTGGGTCTTCCAACATGACAACGACCCGAAGCACACAGCCAGGATAACCAAGGAGTGGCTCCGTAAGAAGCATATCAAGGTTCTGTAATGGCCTAGCCAGTTTCCAGACCTAAATCCAATAGAACATCTTTGGAGGGAGCTGAAACTCCATGTTGCTCAGCAACAGCCCTGAAACCTGACAGATCTAGAGGAGATCTGTGTGGAGGAGTGGGCCAAAATCCCTGTTGCAGTGTGTGCAAACCTGGTCAAGAACTACAGGAAACGTTTGACCTCTGTAATTGAAACAAAGGCTTCTGTACCAAATATTAACACTGATTTTCTCAGGTGTTCAAATACTTATGTTCAGCAGTGCAAGACAAATAAATTCTTTAAAAATCATACAATGTGATTTCCTAATTTTTTTTTTTTTTTTAATTCTGTCGCTCAGAGTGGGAATGCACCTACAATGTGAATTTCAGACCCCTCCATGATTTCTAAGTGGGAGAACTTGCAAAATCGCAGGGTGTTCAACACACACACACACACACACACACACACACACACACACACACACACCAAAAAGGGCCCAAGCAGCAGGTATGAAAGGGAGAGTCTAGTGGCTCAGTAAACAGTTCAAGGCTTAATTTTCATCAAGGTAAACCAACGGTTTGTACCCAATGTTCTATTTAGACCATGCTATGCTATCCCATTCATTTCAATTGCTGCCAGCTTGCACAAAGCAAACAGTGCCTGCAGCATTACAGCATTTGATGTTGTTGCATCTAGCATCCCCTATGAGCTGAATACCATCTATGGATTGCAATTAAAGCCATGTCCTCTATGATACTCTCCTATAAACTATTCTTCTGCTTACCACCTCTCTATCCGTATTAAAAACAGCCTACATTCATCATGTAATGCTTTATAGGCATTGCATGCCCTATAAATGACAAGGATTTTTGGAAACTGGGCTCCTGACCAATTTAACTCCAGATGGCAGCTATCCTCAAAGACAGGTAAAAATAACGACAATATACAAGGACGTAACATGACATCACTGAGCTACTTATTACCAGTATGCCAATATATCTGCCTAAAGCAGTGTATCTCAAATACAGAATTATGTGGGCAGCCATTGCGGAGCTCTTTTTGAAAATGCTAGTTGGCTGGCTAAGTTACCCTAAACAAACAAGTATGTAGCAAGTGTAGAGTTGTACTTGTTCTGTGACTCAAAGTCCTTTTAAAGCAGTGGTTCTCAACCTTTCTAATGCCGCGACCCCTTAATACAGTTCCTCATGTTGTGGTGACCCCCAACCATAAAATTATTTTCGTTGCTACTTCATGTAATTTTGCAGTGGGAGGACTAGTGCCACGTCACTGGTGTCAGTGGGAGGACTAGTGCCCCGTCGTTGGTGTCAGTGGGGGGAGGAATAGTGCCCCGTCGTTGGTGTCAGTGGGGGGATCGTTGGTGTCAGTGGGGGGAGGAATAGTGCCCCATCGTTGGTGTCAGTGGGGGGAGGAATACGCCATCCGTTGGTGTCAGTGGGGGGAGGAATAGTTGCCTACCATCGTTGGTGTCAGTGGGGGAGGAATAGTGCCCCATCGTTGGTGTCAGTGGGGGGAGGAATAGTGCCCCATCGTTGGTGTCAGTGGGGGGAGGAATAGTGCCCCATCGTTGGTGTCAGTGGGGGGAGGAATAGTGCCCCATCGTTGGTGTCAGTGGGGGGAGGAATAGTGCCCCATCGTTGGTGTCAGTGGGGGGAGGAATAGTGCCCCATCGTTGGTGTCAGTTAATAGTGCCCCATCGTTTGGTGTCAGTGGGGGGAGGAATAGTGCCCCATCGTTGGTGTCAGTGGGGGAGAATAGTGCCCCATCGTTGGTGTCAGTGGGGGGAGGAATAGTGCTCCATCGATTGGTGTCAGTGGGGGGAGGAATATGCCCCATCGTTGGTGTCAGTGGGGGAGGAATAGTGCCCCATCGTTGGTGTCAGTGGGGGAGGAATAGTGCCCCATCGTTGGTGTCAGTGGGGGGAGGAATAGTGCCCCATCGTTGGTGTCAGTGGGGGGAGGAATAGTGCCCCATCGTTGGTGTCAGTGGGGGGAGGAATAGTGCCCCATACGTTGGTGTCAGTGGGGGGAGGAATAGTGCCCCATCGTTGTGTCAGTGGGGGGAGGAATAGTGCCCCATTTGGTGTCATGGGGGGAGGAATAGTGCCCCATCATTGTAATAGTGCACCAATGATTGGGCACTATTCTCCCTGAAAATGCACCTTGCTGACCCCTGCTCCAGCCTGGGCTCAACATACAGATGGCTATCCTTCTCCGGGCAGCTTTCCTCCTCTTCACTTGTGCTTCGGGTGACGCTCGGCTCCTCCTTTCCAAGCTCCACCTCCTCACCGGTGATTGGCCGCCTGTGTGCCTCTCTTGAGCTACATGGCGGCCAATGGACGAGGAAGGATTGACCCGGGGGTGTGTCCAATGACAGGAACGGCATGTCATCCCGCCCACACCTGCAGATGGATCAAGGAGCGGTGTCTCGGTTCCTAAGGCCATCGGAAATATGTGTTTTCCGATGGTCTTAGGCGACCCCTGGGAAAGTGTCGTTCGACTCGCGACCCCCAGGTCCGCTTTTTAAAGGATACTCAAAGAGAGGTTATTACATAAAAACACAATCTGGAAATATATCACAAGAGGCATATTTTGTAATTTCTAGGTTTGACTTTACTTACTGCATCATTGTTCCACCTCTATGGGTCAGAAAAGAGCTGAAGCCAGAGGATCAGCATGACAGTCAGGCAACTAGCACTTTTAGCAGGACAGCGACCTATGTATTACATGACAGACTTGCTCCAATATTATGTAAAGGTGATGGTTACTCTCCAAAGAGTTAAGATAGACAGCATTTGCCTATAGACACCAAAGGATTGTAGCTACACACAAGTGCAATGCCTTAAAGGGGAACTAAACTCCGCAACATCATCACCTTCCAGCAATGTGGTTGTTACATCCCTCGCCAGCCACTGCCATCTTCTCCGCAGGTGCCAGGTTTTCGGTCTCTTGATTGGCCAACAGGGGAATGACATCAAGCACATGTGCGCTGGAGTCAGTCATTCCAGCACAGCCAGAAAGTTTTATGAATGCACGTTGAGCTGTGCATGTGCACCTCAGTGTACTTTTAATAGAAAGCTGCAAGCAGGCAGGTAAGTGTTTATTATTGCAGAAGAGAGATAGCATCCCTTCTGCAATATACAGCTGCCTGTTTGTAGTTTTCTGAAAGTTAGGTTATCCACTTTCGGACAAGCAATGTACCTTTACGTTGCTGGACTTCGGGTGGTTATACTGGGTTTTTTTTGTTTTGTTTTTTTTTTTTTTTTAGAGCCTGCAGTCGGCTTTCTTGTACAAGCAATTAGAGCGGCTTATTAGCCACTCAATTGTTTGTATAAGCAGCGGGAGGGGACATCCCCCCACTCCTGTCACTCTCTCGGGATCTCCTGTCCCATCGGGAGACCCCAGCAATCAGCTGCCATGTGTGCCAGCTGGTCAGACAGTCGAACAAAGCCGAGATCAGCTCTCCCTTTTAAGTGCAAAGGAGGGATTTGGAGTCTTCTAGACCCCAGATTCTTCCAGAAAGAGTACCTGTCACATATTTTGCTGTGACAAGGGAAGTTGACAAAAAAAAAAAAAATTTTTTTAAAAGGGACAGTAAGGAAAAAAAACAAACAAACACACACACACACACACACATACACACACACACACACATACATATATAATATATAAATAAAAAATAAAAATCACGTGCACACAGCGATCGCCCCACACAAGTGAGGTATCACAGTGAATGTACGATCATGGCCAGTAATTCTAGCACTAGAGCTCCTCTGTAAATCTAAAATGGTAACCTGTAAATGCTTTTAAAGTGTCACCTATGAATAGTAAAATTTACGTTGTTTGTTGCCATTGCATGGGCATGCACAATTTTAAAGCGTGACATGTTTACTCGACATAACATCATCTTTTATGTTATTACAAAAAAATGGGTTTTGCATTGTGGGGGTTTTTTTGGACTAAAATTCTAAATTTCTCAGAAAACATTGTGTTTGAAAAAATGCTGCGCAAATACTGTGACATAAAAAAAATGCAAAACCCACTAATGTATTCTCTAAGGCCCCTGCTTTAAAATACATATAATATTTGGGGGTTCTCCAAGACATTTTCTAGCAAAAAAATTGATTTTAACATGTAATCAAAAATACTAATTTTAACATGTAAACAAACAGTACCAGAAATGGGTAAGTTCCGTTTTAATTATGCAAACTTAAGTGAACAGAATATTGCTAATTTTCAACATATCAATTTTACCATGGCTTTAGTATATAATGGGGATTCCATTTAACATGCACTAACCTCTTCCACATTGATGCTAGATTTTGCACTGGTCTCAAGGAACTTGATTCCATAATCAATGGCGAGCTGGAATACAAGATACAAATACATAAAAAAAACCAAGGAAGATTTTACCATGCCACAAAGCCACTAGCTAGATTGCCCATCAAATATCAGAACATTTCAAGCAGTAAAGAAAAGTCCAGCTCACCAATGCATAGAAAAAGTGAGTCACTTACTTTCTCTCCCCTCTCTCGTGACACTTGTCTCTTGTCGTTCATGTCACACTTATTGCCAAGAATCATCCGTTCCACATCAGATGAAGCGTGCTGTGGGGGAATTGTGTGCACAAGCACATGATAAGTCAGAGTCAAATGTATGTCTTTTCTGTAACAGACTTCCTTTAACTTACCCAAATACTAATTCAAGGAGAAATTACATATTCTTTGGCTTATAAAAAAGGCTGCTAATGCAGTGCCCATACAAACAGGAAATTCAAGAACAAAAACCTCCCAGATGTCTAAACTCATTGAGGGACACTGAACCAGTTTGAAACCAGCAGCTACAGTACGGTCACTAAACATTAACCGCTAAGGCAATCATAGATGATGTGATTTTCCATCTTGCAAACACAGGTTGCAGGAAAGTAAATTACTTGAATCCCCCATCAACAGTCAGTGTTGATGAAGGAATTCCTCCTGCTGCACTATTGTGTTCTGCTGGCAAAACATGATTACTGCTAGCGGATATAGCCGCTGGCAGTAATTGCATGTAAAAAAAACCACAAAGGCTGGTTGTACTGAAGTCAACCAATGGACGGCTTCAGTACAACTAGGCTGTCCATGGACAAATCAAATCTTGGCTGGTCCCTGCCTAACTGGTCGAGATTCAACCCACCTATGGCCAGCTCAAGCCAAAGGTAGCTGTTTAGCAGACAATGGCTTATCAAGCAGAAGACTGAACAAGTTTTAATAGGAAACCTGATCACTAAATCTCTGATATCTGAAAACCAGTGGAGTCCTTGGTTACCCAACACATACAATTCCTTTGCCTAATCTCCCTCAAAATGGTCCGCTACTGTCACTTCATGTTTATGAGAAGCTCATATTGACATGCAGAAACTTTACTAGTACATGAACTGCCATGATCTATTTCTGCAGAAAACCCCTGAGGTGCGTTCAGGCAACTGAAGATTTGCCAACAGCCAATCTATGTGCTGTGAATGAAGCTGTCCCCTCCCGATGTGCTGAATGACAGCACGTCTCTGGTATGCACCTGCTGCTAGAGCCAAGTGCTGTCAATCAGCCATTTTTAAATATTCTTCTCTTTGCTAGCAGTATAGTCAGACAATAGTGGGGAGGTTTTGCTGTCCACCATTATAACCTAGCAAAGAGGCCAGGGATCAGAACAGGGACCAAATGCTACATGCAGTTGGTCTATTTGGAGAGATAATTACTTTTTTTATTTCTAAAAAGAAAACCAATGTAGGTGGCCTCTTCACCTTTCCTAGACATGAGAGCAGCTGCTGCCATTGCAATGGACAACAAAAATACTGCATTCTTTTTCTAGAATCACAAAGAGTTGAATCCACTTCAGATCCACACTGGGACCACTGCCCCTTGTATCACAGGAGGGAGTGCAACTCTTTTAGTTTGAGCAGCATGTTTGAGCCTATTATGAGCTAAGAGGATGCAACAGGAGAAAATACATACTGCACATGCATTGTCTGAAAGAACAGGAAGGTGCTCCCACCCGTGGTACTAGGCTGGCACTGGTCCCAGCACTAACTTGGGCTGGGGCCATCACATACTGTGGAAGGTTTTAGGAAAGGCGTTTGCTTAAATGTAGTTTTGGAATATACTGTAAGGGAGCCCTAGATTAAAGTCAGGTTTAGCATACTATGCTGCTATACCCATATGGAGCAGCATAGTGTACTTTTTGGTAAAGGTGAACTAATTCTTTAAAAGTAACCCCTTATTAAAACTGAAAAACTAAAAATCACTAGTTCCCTTATGAAAAGCAACCTTAGCAGACATCAGTTGTCTAGTACAATTTTAATCCTTTCTTTCATGCTACACATGGCTTAGCAACAGTTCTGCAACATTTCCATTTTTTTTGTTAAACTTGAAAAAAAAACAAAATGTTTATTTATGACGACACCTTCCAAGTGTTAAATGTACAAAAGAAGTATAAAAGGTAAAAACATGTAAATGACACCTGTGCATTGAGGTGATACAAATAACACAGTACCAGCAGTGCTCAGGGATCACACCCCCTATTATCTGGATTACCTTTGTTCACAAGCAAACCCACACAAACTAAGCATAGAGCTATTAAATGAGGCATTTAAACAAAGGCAAACATAAAGGTGGGACCATTCGAAACCATCCCAAAGCAATGAAGCATCAAGTCTTCCTACCTCTTCAATGTTCCTTATCCAGTTTTTAATATTGTCAAAAGATTTCTCATTGGTGATATCATACACCAGCATAATACCCTGCGAGGAAGAAATAATTCATCCAGTGTTACAAAACAGGGAAGTGGGAATCACAGAGAAGAGCTACAGACAATTGAATGAGTCAGAAGCAAAGGTTACAGAGACAAAAGGACATGTTAGGAAGCTCTTACATGACATTCTACAAGTTGTATCAGGGGTGAGAAATCCACAACTACAGGCCAACATAAAATAAAGCAAGGTTTACCATAGCTCCTCTATAATATGCTGTGGTGATGGTGCGGAACCTCTCCTGGCCAGCCGTGTCCCTAAAAAGAGAACCGAGCAAAATATATTATACATTACAATATTTACTATACCGAATGACTTTTTAATAATACTAAATAAAAATCCTTCAAGAGTCACTTACATGATAACAATAAAATAGACCTTATAGTATTGAAAAGTTGGCAACCTTTATATTCTTAGCTGGCAACCTTTTGAAAGGAGAACAGCCCTTTCAATGTAGATCATTTAGCTGTTATTGTCAGAGCAGCCCGAACAAAAAAATGTTAATGGGACTCTGTATCTTAAAACAGAAATCAGGTTGACCCAACCACATCTGTCTGTGGCCCTGTGTCTGGGGGAGATGGCAGAGAGGACTCTGCATTAAAGACTATGTTCATCTTTCATGTTTGGGTGTAACATGTAATGAATGCACCGACCCCCACTCTGACAACTAGTAGGGGGTCTTCTCCCCCCTCGCTTTCAAATAAAAAAAAAAAAAATTCTCCACCCACATGGCCATGTCACTGTGTTCTTGGAATGAGAAACTACAAGTCCCAACAGCCCTAGGGCCATCAGTTTGTAGTTCTTAATGAACTACCACAGCGCTGTGGAGCGCCGTAGTAGTTCATTCAGTCTTCCTGTCCGTATATCTGCTTGCCCGTACACTCCATAGCGGCAAGCAAATATTCTGACAGATCTGCTGCAGGAGACCTGCATGGCACTAGCGATCTGTTGATTGCAGGTGCAATGCTATTCAGGCTCCTGCAACAAAAAATAAATGCACATTTCTTTACCTGCAAAAAAATGTGCATTTATTATTTTTTGTATAAAGGTGAACTTATCCTTTAAGCTGGTCATACATGGATAGGATTTTGGGCTATTCCTGCTTAACTGGCAGATATTTGAGCTGTGGGTGGCTCAATCAGCACCACCCAATAGGACAAATGTCAACTATAAAAAAAAAAAAAAAAAAAAAAAAAAAAAAAAAAGACTGAGCTGGGAGGAAAACTCTTAGCCAAAGAGTAAAGCCTGCCATAGACGTTTTGAATTTTGGTTGGTTCAGCAGGGACTGCCTGAGATTCAATCCATCAATGGGCAGACTGATTGTAGTCAAGTCGATCCACCTATGAACCTGGGTACAGCCAACATATTGGATTTCTAGAATTCGATTACATCCAGAGGCAACGTGTTCTCCTGGTAGTGATGGCTGCCTGCCCCCCCAACCATCTGAAAACACAATAGCTCCATGAGAGAGATTCCCCCATCAACATATTCAGTGAAAGAGCGCTTTTGCAGGAATGAAAATCGCATAATCTATGGCCTGCCTAACTGCATCCAATTAGATTCAATCACTATTTTGGATATTTAGACAGCCATGGTGCTGGCCATTTTAATACAATAGCTGGCAAGGAAGAAGGGGAGGGGGTTCCTCCTGCTGTTTAGCAATGATGGGGGAAGCAAGTGATCTTCTCATGGGCTGAACAAGGAAAATCTAAACATGTAGTGCTAGTTTCGGCTGTTTTCTTCTGTGACTAATGAACCAAGAAGCGACTTGTACTACTTTACTTATGGGCTCACGGCTTTCATCCCCCAGCTAATATAGCTGAGAAAGCAGCTAATCAAGCATCATCTGTGCCTGATTAGCTGAAGTGGAGGGCAGGGTAGACATTAGTGCTCCAAGGCACCCCCTTAACACACACATCTATGCTGCAATGACACAAAGTATATCCAGCCGCAATTAACGCAGGTAATCATTGGCTTTGAAAACAGTTACAAATAGCTGCGGCCACCAACAGCCTGCCATGGCAGTGCATTGTCTTGGGGGTGCTGCTATACAGACACAAATGTCAATCTCAGCAACAGGAATCAGATTGTGGGGCAAAACGACAGTAAGAATAAAACCTTATAGATCTGATATCTCTAAAAAAGGGGATCCGTTATGTGCCCATGCTATCACATAGGGGTTTTTGTAACCCCCTTATGATAAGCAATAATGTTAAATAAAAAAAAACAAGTGTTAAAAAATAAAAATTAAACTTAAAAAAAAAAAAAAAAAAAAGTGCCCCTGTCGCTACACACACACACACACACACACACACACACTTACATGACTGTAGACGAACACATGTATGAATCACACATGAGTTGCAGGAGCAATAGCCCTAGGGCAATAATTCACATTTAGCTCTAAACTAATAAGCAATATAAGCTTTTTAACATGTCACCTATGGACAGTTTTGGGTACCACAGGTTTTCATTGTAAGGATTTAAATCCACTCTTCATTCTCACCAGGACATGTGTCCCCATTGGAAGACTTACAGCCTATCCTTGTTTGGATGACAAATAAATATTTTAGAATTTCACTCACTTTCAGACCTGTGACAATGGTTATCTGACAAACAGAGGCTGAATCTCACCAGCTGGGACACAGACGGGATTAAAAACCTTACTGAGGTTCAAATGTTTCTCTACTCTATCCAAAACAAAAAAATGGGTTTAGTTACGCTTCAAGAATCTGCACTGAAAGTTATTAGGGGCTTGACTTTAAAGTGTGTGTTACCCTAAATATTTTTTTTCCCTCTATGTGTGTTCACATATGTGTATTTTTAAATGATAGTCCTAATCATTTTCATGTCCTTCTTGCATCTGAAGTACCTACTTGATCTTATCAGTCACATTTATTCACTGTTCTAAACAGACCACACAAAGCACAGAAGCTGATCTGTGTTTGTGTGGTCAGTTCTCATCCTTTGATTGGCCATTCAGAGATACAGGACACTGGGCAGACACACAGCATGCCTGTACTGGGTAGTTTGTTCAGCCTCCAAACCTCCCTACCAATTACATCCTGCCTCTGCCCCAACCCCCAATCACAGCCTGTTGAACACGCCCCTGCTTAAGAACAGTCTGTATCTTAGCTTAGGCTGAACAGACTATTGAATACAGGCACACTATGTGTCTGAACAGTGTCCTATAACACCGCCCCTCCAGTATCAGGAAGAAGAGATGCATGGTCACATGACAACCTTTTAAACTTGTAAAAAAGGTAAGAAAGATAATTTCTAAAACTAAGCAAAAGCAGTTATGGTGCCTGCATAGTTATAGGTGTATTAGAAAGAGTCTAACATTTTATATTCAAAACTACTATAATTTCTGGGCTAAGCCTTGAACTCTGGAGCTAGCCAAATCCCTCTCTAAAGTGGAAGATAAAATTACGGTTAGTTTACATCTGTTTTCTGTTAAAGTAGTATTAAATCCAAAAGCAAACATTTATTATATTGTAACCCACCAATTCTTAGATATGACACATTAGTATTTTTTTTAGGCTTTCCTTCCCTTAATTTCACCTGCTGATTTGGCTAGTAATTCTGTTTTCAAAAGAACAAGCTCTCTTGCAGTTACAGGGATGAGATAACCCATTTCCCAGTGGCAGGGGTGTTTACAATGATCAGCTTTTATTTCTGTAAAACCTTTATCCCAAAAACTGTTGCTGTAACTACTTATAAAATGTTAGCTCAAGTTTGGCTTCAATTTGTTAGTGTGTCTAAAAGAATTTAAATCAATTTGTTAGTGTATCTAAATCTGCTAGCACATCTAACACTCCCCTCTCCCCAGACTCACAATGCTTCTGCCCAAAAGCATAAAAAGAAAAGAAAACGGAGGTAACCACCAACATCTAATGATTGGTAAGCTGCAATATATTACACTTTTGGTTTTGGAATTAATACTGCTAAAGGATGATCACTGCTCACTACAGCCAACAATACATATGGGTTTCAGACGGCTTTAAAAAGTATGATCTTGCTGTGTTTGACATTTCTCACTGATGCTTGCAGGAGCCATTGAAAGACAACATCCTGCTGACTTCGGTGCATTATGAAAGCTTGTGTATACTGATGTCCGTTTTACAAGTGCTATATGTGAACACAAACTGAATGCAATTATCATTATTATTATGTATGCAATAATAAAAGGGGATAGCTGAAAAAAAAAATTCTCAATGCTCGAACATCAGGATATTCCTGCATTTGCATGGCCATTTAGTCACGGTACAAATCTCAGCAACAAGATTCTACAGAAGTCACACAGGCATTTAGCCACAGTGCGAATTCCAGTGGCAGGAATCTCCTGCTGCTATCAGTAGATTTCTGCTGCTGGGATTCACACCATGGCTAAATACCCTTGCGAAAGTAGCCTAAAGCCAACCATAGATGGTCCGAATCTTGGCTGGATCAACAGGGACCAAAATTCGAACCATGTATGGGCAAGCTGAATGTACCCAAGTTGATCAAGCGATCAACTAGGGTACAACCAGGCTGTCGGGCTTTTACATATTGCTAGTGGCTATTATGGCCACTAGTAGTAATTACTGTGTTCTCTTGGAGATGGCTCGCCTCACTGGGAGAACACAATGGCTCCATGGGAGGGATTCCCCTCATCAACACTGTTCATTGGGAAATCAACCACGGGTTGTCAGAAAGAAAGTCACACACCTATGGCCAGTCTAATACACAACAGGGGACTGCGGTTTATGTTCACAAAAGGCTTGAAGACCTGATTACTACAGCTACCTGGTGCAGACACGGCACAGAAAATAGAGCAGATTCCTCCCATTTAGTATAGGAGGTTGGATCCTCTTTGGGAATTAGAAGCTGGATCTTCTCTGTTGTCTCAGTTTTAGTAGAATGGTGCAGGTTTTATAAAATTGACAAAACAACATCTTTGTGGATGGGCTGAACATACCATATCTGAAGTTTAATCTTCTTTCCATCTAATTCTATGGTTCGGATTTTAAAATCAATACCTGAAGAAAGGTTAAGAAAAAAAAAAAAAAAAAAAGTTATGTTTAGGATTAGATATCAAGAAATGACATGTTTACAGAAACACAGCTTACTTCTTTTGTTTAGGGCAGGAAGTGGCCTATGTGCGTCATGCATTGTACAGAAAGTTCACAGACCACTTCCTGTAACACCCAGCCTGGACCTGCTCAGAGATACACACGGCACAGCTACAACATGTAGCACAGAGTATCCTTGTCATAGAAAGAAAAATTAACAGTTTCCCGAAAGGAAGAATAGTTTAAATAAAACCTACTGCCAAACATCCAGTAAACACCCAATTGTGTTCTCATGTTACGAACACTAAATAATCAGCTTACAGCAGGATGAGTGACAGAGCAGGAAAAGTCACAGCTCTGGTTTGCCTCATTAATGTCAACTTTGAGATTAACCAAAAAACGAATGTTTGATTAACTTTTGCATTACTTTAGTACAGGGGTGTCAAACTGGCGACCCTCCAGCTGTTGCAGAACTACAAGTCCCATCATGCCTCTGCCTTTGGGAGTCATGCTTGTAACTGTCAATCTTGCAATGCCTCATGGGACTTGTAGTATGGCAACAGCTGGAGGGCCACCAGTTTGACACCCGTGCCTTAGTATATGCTTAGGTTCTCAGTATACACTTTATGAACTCCATAAACAATGTAAGAATATCGAACTGTCAACATACAAAAACAGGGGCCATTTCATAGTACAGGCGAGGACGATTTAAATAGGATTCTGCTTGGAGGACTGGGACGAGGTTTTGGATGGCACCAAGCTGGTCTGATAGACTTACCCAGCTTTATATAGCGCACCAAGCTTACCTCACCCCGCTTAAGAGTCTCCAGATTTTACCCTGAGCAGAGCCCCCGAAATCTAAGGGAAACAGGCACCTTTATTCATCTATTATGCTCCTTCCCAGTTATTCAGGCGTACTGGAAACAAGTTATCAAGTTCTTACACGATCACATGGGCTCTCCGCTACAATTAGATCCCAAATCGTGTCTGTTGGCCTCCTCCCAGACCTGCCTAAGGACAAGTTCCTTGTTACCCTTCTAATGAGACCCTCTTTAGTGCCCAGAAATAAGCTGTGCGCCATTAGATGCAGGCGACACCTCCTACCCTTCAGGCATGGTTGATTGAAGTGAACGTGACACTTTCATATTTGATCTTTGATTCAGAAATTGATCTATATACCGTACATAGGGGCTGCCCCATGAAATAACAAAATATGGGATACAGGGATGTTGAATTCTTATCGCCCGATGCCCGGGACATGTAGTTGCGTGCGCTGGGCAGGTAGTATTTCTTTTTTACCTATAGCCCTGCTCACCTGTCAGGCGGAAGCATTCTGGCGGCAGTGCTGCTGCCGATTGCTTCCACAGAGTGCCAGCCTCTCTGCCCCCCCCCCCCCATGTGAATCTCCCCCCCGCCCACTGTTACCCGGGCTCCGCTTGCCCATCTCCGGGCCTGGGACCAGCTCACCGTCGGCGGCTAGTGGGGAGGGAGGAGAGTTTACACGTCCACTATCCTCCCCTTCTTGTCCTGACCTGGAAGTGATGTTATGATGTCACTTCCAGGTCCCCATTGAGAGATTCCTGGGAATTGAGGCTGGTAAAGAATGTAATTCAGTGCGATGTGCACTGCATTGCATTCAGAGGAGCAGAGGGGAGACATCCAGAGTCTTTTAGACCTTGGATGTTTCATTAAAGAAAACCTGTCACCAAAAAATCATCACATAGGGGACATTGTCCCCCATGTGATGAAAAAAATTTAAGTAGAAAAAAAAAATTTTTTTTTTTTTTTTAATTGTAAAAAATTAACCACTTCAAGTCCGGACACTTTTACCCCCTTTCTGTCCAGGACAATTTTCAGCTTTCAGTGCTATCACACTTTGAATGACAATTGCGCGGTCATGCAACACTGTACCCATATGAATTTTTTAGCATTTTTTTTTAGACAGATAAAGCTTTATTTTGGTGGTATTTATTCAACAATGGGATTTTTATGTTTTTTGCTATGTAAATGAAAAAGTCCAAAAATTTTGAAAAAGTGTTTTTCTTATAAAATTTTGCAAATAAATAATATTTCATCATAAATCTTGGGCAAAATTTATTCCGTTATCTTTTTAGTAAAAAAAAAAAAAAAAAATAATAACCCATATTAGTTTATAACCAAAAATTATAAATTTTGAAACTTTTGTTTTACATTTTTTTTTTTTTTATTTTGTTTTTTTTTTTTTTACATACTGTCACCGTAGTACAGTGTCACCATGGGTACTACTTGTCGGGGCTGATGAAGATTTTTTTTTTTTTTTTTTTTTTTTAAACGGATTGCTTTTACACCCATAAAGACTGTAAAAGCAATCATTTCTCCTCCACTCTGGCTGCATTCAAGCAGCCATTGAGAACTACTGTGTGAGCTGTGATTGGTCACAGCTTGTCACATAATACAAGGCTGTTGTGAATAGCCTTGTACAATGTGACCTCTGTGATCATTCACAGACTTAACACGTAGTAAGCAATTATGTCAGAAGTGACATCTTGCTTACTACTCTGCATGTAATCACTGATTGGACAATCATTGATCACATGATCGGGACCTCGCACAGGAGGTCCCGTACGACGATCGGTGTTCCACTGTGTCCGGTGCTGCGTGCTCCCAGGGAGCACGCACAAGCAGAGGGTGGGGAGGCCGTTTGTAAACGGCCACCCGACCTGCACTGCCACCGTCTGGCCGTTTATATACACAACGGCCGGACGGGAGGTGGTTAAAGTTACATCCATGCACATGACCCCCCCCCCCCCAAAAAAAAAAAAAAATTGAGCCCCCCCACATATTCACACATGCTGGGGCGCCTATGCATGAAAACGTTGATTGCAATACACGTTACATATCGTAGCGCACGCCAAAATGAGAGCAATAATTCTAGCACCAGACCTCCTCCACAACACTATACTGATGACCTAGAAGGGGCATTAAAAGCATCACCTATAGAAAATATAGGGTACTGAAGTTTGTCACCATTTCACAAGTGCACGCAAATTTAAGGTTTGACAAGTTGGATATTTATTTACTTGGTGGAACCTCATCTTTTATATTTTACAAAAAAAAACTGGGTAATTTATTGCTTTTTTTTTTGTGCCCCTAAAATTAACTAAGTTGTATTTTTACTGAATTTTTGCAGTAATATTATGCAACATAAGCAACTGGAACTACCATTATTTTATTCTCTAGGGTCTCGGATTTCAGAAAATATATCATGTTTGGGGGTTTTGTGTAATCTTCAGGCCTAAAATTATTTTTTTTAATCTTGTGCAAAAAATGCAAAAATGGCTCTGGCAGCGAAAGAGATAAGCCGGACACTCCCCTTTCCTGACGAGCACCCAATCAGTGCTCATTACACTGCAAGGTCTCTCTGCTCCCTGCTAGTCCTGGGTGCGGTGCTGGAGACAGGCAGGGAGGGGAGGAGATAAACAGCACAACGTTAAAAATATTAAAAGTTTGTCGCCATAAAGCCCCTTTCGTTTTTAAAAGTCCCATACATTCCTAAAAGCACCTCTGCCTAATAAAAAATATCAACCCTCATTTTTTCTTATCAGGACAAGTAGATTGTCATGAGGGACAAGTTGATTGAGACCCGATTTAGTCTCTGGACATTCCTGCTAGTTTAAGTCACTATAAAACCCCTTTTGTTTTTAAAACATTCCTAATATCACCTCCAATTTAAATACAGTTTTGTTAAAAGTTTCTTTTTATCTGGTCAAGTAGATTGTCATGAGGGACAAGTAGATTGGGACACCAATTTAATCCCTTGGAAAAGTCGTTTTTTTCAAAAATTTCCACACCCCTGGGGATAAATGGCTTGATACACCTACTACTTGTGTGACTTGATAGAGCAAGGGTATTTGTGACCGGTTTGCCCTTTTTTCACCAGCCTACATCCTGGTATGGAGGATCTGATTTCATGGTAATCTTGCTTGAACAATTGCTGTGCCCATTGTCTTCCTTGCTCTCTCTCGAAAGTTTATTGGATTTATCCCTTTTGTAGAGCGTGTATCACTTACTGTGCAATCTGTTGTGCAACTGTACTTTCTTTTACCTTGTTAATAAAGTTCTTTTAACGTTAAAAAAAAAAAAAAAAAAAAAAAAACATATGAATTCTGCTGGCTGCATCTTTAGTCCAGTTTTCTGCAAAACACAGGAATGAATGGTAATGCATGAAAAAAAATCCTAAATGGTGTCTAAATCCTACTCTAGCTCCCTTGTCTCCTCCTCCCATGCTGGTCTCCAGGACTACTCCAGAGCTTCCCCCATCCTCTGGAACTCTCTACCCCAATTTATCAGACTATTGCCTACTGTGCTCACTTTTAGGCGATCTCTGAAAACCTCTTACTTCAGGGAAAAGCCTATCCTGCCCTTAGCGAATACTGGAATCTTCTACTCTTCCAACCAGTCCATCCCCCACAGTTACTACCTTTTGTACCACTAGCCCCTCCCTCCTAGATTGTAAGCTCCAAGGAGCAGGGCCCTCCTATCCCTCTTGTATTGAACTGTATTGTCTCCCGTTATATTGTAAAGCGCTGAGCAAACTGTTGGCGCTATATAAATCCTGTATTATAATAATAATAATAAACTGCACCAAACCTTAAGAACACCAAAGGTGTTAAGTTGACTTTGCTGCAAGTCACTGTAACCCTATTGACTAAAGCTGGCCAAGGTGTTAAGTTGACTTTGCTGCAGTCACTGTAACCTATTGACTAAAGCTGGCCATAGAGCTGTTTTTCATTTTTTAGGAGATCTGTTTGGTCAAACCGTTTTTTTTTTTTCGATTCCTCCATCCCCATAAACAAGGGGCTCTGGCCGATTTTTTACCGATAAAAAAAACTGCGCATACTCACGACAAAAAGAAGAAAAAGAAGAAGAGGATGAGGATGACGTCACATTGCATGTACAATAAAGAGGATGAGGATGAAGAAGAGGATGGGATGAAGA